GTCGGCGGCGTTTTCGCCAGATGGTGGCGAAGCCCATGTGCCGGGATTGGGAGAAGTCCAATTGGCGTATGAAGCCCGTGCGTGGCCGGAAATGTTTCTCGATGAAGCCAAAATTGAGAGACGGTTGCAGTTCCTGGATGTAGAACTGTTCAGTGGCAAATAGATCCATTGCCGGAACGACAGTGTGAATGGGCACCGAGGTGTAGTGGTGGAAAAAGTCAAAATGTGCCCACCACCGGACTGCCAGTTCGGCATTGACCAGATGATGTCGCTGAACTTGGAGTAGTTTGCGAAGTTGGCTGCGGCCCCGTGCCATGAGGGAGGCGCGAGTGGCTCCGAGGTAGAAAAAGGCCTGCCACTTTGGATGGCTGGTGAATCTCAGATAAACCGCTGAAGGGACAAGCTGAGAAGAGAAATCGGAAGCAGGGTTGTCCAGGCCAAGTCGAGTAAGCAGGGCTTTCAGTCTGCCGGAACCACAGGAGAGATGGCAGACGTCAAGTAGCTGAAGCTGTGCGAGTAGCCAGGAGCAAGAATGACGTGCGGTGACGTCATCGGTTGGGAAGAACCGAAGAGTGAAACGGAGGACAGTGAGAAGTTGGCAGCAGTGGTGTTGCCAAAATTTGTGCTGCCTGGCTGTGCGTCGTTGTCGGTGTGCTGTTGAGAGTCACTGGTAGAAGTGACTCGCAGCGGCCAGGATGCGGCCCAAGGCCGATGACCCCAGTTTTGATAGGGTTCGCACCGGGATGCCCCATAGCACAGCGGCTCGTTCGAGTTGGGCTCTGGTGTCGGAGTCCAGTGTGGTTGCCCATTTTGCGCAGTCGTTGGACCAGCTTTTTAGGACTGCTTGCTCTCTTTGCTGGTTTTCTGAGAGGTGATCCATCGCTGGACTTTGGTGTCGGAAATGTCGGGTGGGAAGTTGCTGGTGAGCCATTGGCAAACGTGGGGAGGTGGTTGGAGCAAGTCGCGGGGCTCCTTCCAAGTGGGTGGGGAGGGGAGGGGGGGAGGGGTCGGGGTGCCGCCGTGGGTGGAGGGGGCTGGAGGGTTGCCGCCGTGGGTGGGGGGAGCCGGGGGGGGTTGGGAGTCGTCTGCAATGCGAGTGGGCAGGGGTAGAGCGGGGGATCCGTCCTGCGGTGATGTGTCAGGTGTAGTCAACCGTGGTCGCTTTATGCCGAAGTCCAGGAGGGAGGCCTGAGATGGACGGGGGGAGGGGGGGGAAAGGGGTTGCCGCCGGGAGGGGGGGGGAGAGAGCCGCCAAAGGAGGGTGGACGAGGGCCGGGGTGTGGTGGGTAACGGGGAATAGGTTGGCCGTAGGTCTGACAGGGAGTCGGATGTGTAGCTGGCGGTGCCGATGCCGTGGAAGAGCATCCGTAGGAAGGCCCGGACAGGGCCCCGCACGGGTTCCCGGCCATGTTGTTGCCGTACACGATGCCATGATGATGGGATGCCGTGGGCGAAGGCTGCGGTGGTAAGTTTTGCCTTTGGAGCGCCGTAACCAAACCTCGAGGGGGTTGGAAAGCCATGAGAAAACACGGGGGAAAGGAAATGTTCGAACCACAAGCTGGTGAGCGGAATCAAGCGGGTAAGGTCACAAGGTGAGAGAACGGTCGCGGAAAGGCAGAACAGCAAAGCAAAGAAAAAAGGCGATCAAACAGTGCACCAATTCTTTTCCTGGTTGGGTGGAAGATGGTACAGTTGCGCCCCGCTAAGCCGGGCGCTGCAGCGCGATGCCTCTCAGCATCGCAAACTTGGAGTGAAGGCACCACTTTTTGCCTCGGCGGCATGCGAAGTGGCGCCGCACGTTGTGTTGATCCTCGTGGCTTCCCCCGGATTCGAGGATTTTGTGCTGATTGATGGAGCGTAGTTCCCCAAAAGCGATGGCGCCGAGTTGAGACTTTCCGATTGTAAAGTTCTGCAAGAGCTGGCCGAGCGTGTCGGGCGTGCATGCCGTGGGGGTGGCCTGAGCGTAGCATCCAAAGCTCGGGTAGTCATGGTTCTCGGGCCTCCAAGCAGCGGGTCGGATCATGTTCTCATGGCACATGCGGCGCACTCGATCCGGGGTGGTGCCGTGCACATACATGACAGCGTGATGGGAGGCCGTGCCGGATCCAGCTTCCGGGTCTCCGCCAGCAACTGGCCAAGGATGAGGTCGGGGAAACCAAGTGGTTGCGAACACCATGCCGTGTGATTCCCGTCCCAAGAGGTGGTAGAAGCTGGGATCGAACGGTATGGGATCATCCGTGTCCATGGTTCGCAGTTCCCAGCATTCCGCGAGGAGATCGGCATGTGAAGGTGGCAAAGCAGGGTCCAGGTCCATCAAAATGGCCTTAGTCTGTTCCACCCTGGAGATGTCCAAGGCTGGAAGCGGGTCCAGCTCCCCCAACTCCCTAGGCGTGGGAACTCGCAGCGGGTCAGTCTTGGCCGTGTCCATGACGTTTCTCCATAGATCAAGCCACCGGTTGTCGGAAGTGGTGGTGGCATTGATGTCCGCCTCCGATGGAGG